GACCAAGATCAGGTAGATATTGTTTTAAAATATGTTAGTGATGTATATAAAGGCTCCAATAGTCTTATTATACTTGATGACTGTGCGAGTTGCTTAGATGTTAAAAATAGGACATCTGAATTAGTTCGTTTAGCATTCAGTGCTCGTCATTATGGGCTTTCTACTATTGTGGTGACACAACAATTAACAAGTATTTCTAAACCATATCGCGAAAATATAAGTTATCTAACTAGAGCTTTTACAATACAAACAGAAATGATATGAAAACCATATTTGATGATTATCTTTATGGTGTTGAGAAAGATGATATAGAAGAAATAACCAAAAAATTGAAAAATAATAAGTATGCGCATTTAGAAATCCAAATTGTATATCCATACCAATGGAAAATTGTTATTCCGCAATAAAACATGTGTTATATATATATATATGCCAAAGCGTAAAGAGCCTGAAACAATTAACGATCTAATTAATGAGATTGATTCCGCAAATGATACTACCAAAGATGCTGTATGTGATGATAATATACAAGATACACCGCAAGAAAGTTTTAATAAAAGAGATCAACTACTTAAACTAGCTGAAGATGGTAATTTAGACAAGTCAGTTGCTTACATTAAAAAAGCTAGCCAAAAAATTATTGATAAATTGTACACTGAATACGAGAAAAAACGATTACAAAAAGCTAATGAGTTTTTAACTGATTTAGTTATATCAAAATTTTCAGATATATTAAAAGGGTTTGATGCTATAGAAGATTCCAAAGAATTAACAAAACAGCTTAAATCAGACGACCTTTTAAAACGAGATGTGTATAGTTTAGTAGAAAAAATATCACCCCTATTACCTTTTTTAGGAGTCCTATCTGGTTGTATAATAATAGGTAATCATGTTTACAAACATAAAAATAATAAACCTGATATAAAATCTGAGGAATAATATAAATGAGCTTATTTTATGGACATGATAACACAGATATTAATGTAAATATACAAGGATCTGTAGATAAAACACATCTATCAGATAATTATTATACTAAAACACAATCTGATGGTAAATTTAATGACTACTATACTAAAACACAAGCTGATGGTAAATATGCTTTGATTTCTAATTTACTAAAAGATTATACTAAAATACAAGCTGATAATAAATATGTTTTTGTTTCAAGATTAGCCAACTATTATACAAAGAATGAAACAAATGGTAAGTATGCTTTAAGTTCTAATTTAAATAAATATTATACAAAGATTGAAACAGATGGTAAGTATGCTTTAAATTCTAATTTAACTAACTATTATACTAAAACACAAGCTGATGGTAAATATGCTTTGACTTCTAATTTAAATAACTATTATACTAAAACACAATCTGATGGTAAATTTAATGACTACTATACTAAAACACAAGCTGATGGTAAGTATGCTTTGACTTCTAATTTAAATAACTATTATAATAAAACTCAAGTTGATAATAAATTTAATGACCACTATTATAATAAAACTCAAGTTGATAATAAATTTAATGACCACTATACTAAAACTCAAATAGATGATATAGTAAAAAGTAAAATTGTACATCATAGTAACCAATTAAATTTCAACTCAAATGTTAGTAGCCAAAAAGATATTATAAATATTCTTTTTAACAATATTAAATTTATTGAATTTACACTTCTATTTATAAATCCATCTGATAAATCCAAAACAATTCAATTAGATATTATGGTAGATAAGATTAATAAAAAATTTATCATTAAAATAACAAATGATAATGAAAAAAAGATAGCTGATACACTACTAGATTTATATTACGTATACTGTGTTGATGATAATATAAGCAATATTTATATTATTATTTACCCAAAAAAATCTTCAGTTTCAATTGATTATAACGAATGGAAAGAAAATGGCTGGTAGCATTTAATGGATTAAATAAATTACAAGTTTATTCACACCATCAATCTATATTATCTATGACATATAATGGTTATTCACAAAATTTCGGAGCTATTATACAAGATAATATTCTATCAACTAAAAAATTTGTAAATGATGAAATCGAAAAATTAAAAAAATTTATTAAAGATAACTATCAAGCTAAACCTAAAGATGAAGGTGAAGAATAATCCTCATGTTTGACTACATATCACATAACTGTTTGTAACAAGTAATTAATACAAAAGCGATATACAAAAAGATTCAAAATCCTGAAACAATTAGTAAAAACACTTTTAACAAAAATTATATAAAACATTGTTAACCATGTACATGTGACACGCACTTGACAGACAAATTAAAAAAACATATAGATTCCATAGTTTTGTAAAGAGCATCTATGACATTGTTGCGCTCAAAATTTCAGGCTTAGTTGCCTGAAATTCTTCGCCCCTAACAACGATTTAAAAAGATGCTTTATTAACACTTGATTATTAAAGAATATTTCTACCACGCGCTGAGTTTTAAGACCATTGTTAAAGGCCACTAGTCTGCCAAATATACCACGTAGACTATAAAGCGCGCTGCTACTGATATTTATAAAACATTGTATTATTATACATGCGCTGATGAAATGTGCTATCTACATTAAACAACCATTGTTAAAAACATGCACTAAGACACGCGCCCCCGCTAAAAACCAGCTATCGCTGATACTGATATTTTAATAACACTTGATTATTAACACTTGATTATTAAAGACGGTTTTTTGAAGAGCATTTTTTAAGCCTCTGTTATTCTCGAATATTCTTCGAATATTCATCGAATGTACGGGGGAACCCCGAATTTTCACTTCGTAAAAATTTTCCCCACCTGGGTTCCAGAAGTCTCGGGCATCCCATTCCCCTGCTCAATTTTAGCTACGCTAAAATCTGCGCTGCCGGATGCCCTCCGAAACGATGCTTTCTTAACATTTGTTTGTAAAGACCGTTTGTAAAATTTAAACGCACCTATATATTTCAAAAACATATAGATTCCATATTTTTAAACGATAGATTGTAACCTTGAGATTTTTACCCCCCTTTGAAACAATGACTATTTTTTACACAGCTTTTTTACATGACCTTTTGCTGAGGGACGCCTTTTGAACCATGGTCTTATTTTGCGTTGTTATTAAAGATAGTTTTTACCCCCCTTTGAAACAATGACTATTTTTTACACAGCTTTTTTACATGACCTTTTGCTGAGGGACGCCTTTTGAACCATGGTCTTATTTTGCGCTGTTATTAAAGATAGTTTTTACCCACGGTTAAAAGTAGTATAGTACATGGGGCGTATGGGATAACAAAAAGTGAACTTTTTGTGATCCCCTACCCCCATGTACTATACTACTCCCACTGCAAGCATATCCATTTTAGAACATAAGTTCAGCTAAACTAAAGCTTATGCTTTAAAACAAGCCATAAGTTCCTGTAAGGACGTTTCTCTTTTTCAAGTTTTAAACAATTTTGGCATTGTAATTCACATTGCACAGCTACTTTTTAGATTAGAAACAACAGCAATACATATACAAAACAATAATTCACATTAACCCTTACAGCATTGGCGTAATAATCATATAAGTTTACCTTCTCTAATACAGGCTCATCACAAGTTGTTTCTTCTATTTGCTCTTGAGGTTCGCTACTTGTACTGGGAATATTTTCTGACTCAACCTCTCTTTTATAATCAGACATCCACTTTCTTTTCATCTAAAATGACTTATATTTATGAAATATACTCTCACACAAATTCCAGGTAAAATGTAGATATGCATATGTATAATTTTTAACGTACAGTACCGCTCATGTATTTGTTAACATACGGTACGCGTATCAAACGCGTATGATACGAGAGCGATACGCGTATGATACGAGAACGATAAGCGTATGAAACGAGAACGATACGCGTATGATACGAGAGCGATACGCCTATGATACGAGAACGATATGCGTATGATACGAGAACGATACGCGTATGATACGAGAGCGATACGCGTATGATACGAGAACGATATGCGTATGGTACGAGAGCGATACGCGTATGATACGGGAACGATATGCGTATGATACGAGAACGATACGCGTATGATACGAGAGCGATACGCGTATGATACGAGAACGATATGTGTATGATACGAGAACGATACGCGTATGATACGATAGCGGTACGCGTATGATACGAAAATGATACGCGTCTGGTACGAGAGCGATACGCGTATGATACGAAAACGATACGCGTATGGTACGAGAGCGATACGCGTATGATACAAGAACGATACACGTAAGATACGAGAACGATACGCGTAAGATACGAGAATGATACGCCTATGATACGAGAACAATACGCGTATCATACGCAAAATTATGTTAACAAATACGTGAGCGGTACTGTACTCAGCATTCTGCGATCTCTTGTTGTAAGTTAATTGTCATCTTTTCGAAGATAAATGCTCGGCTAAGCAACGATTCCGAATTCGTCTCGAACGAGTCGAGGTGCAAAATTACTTTCTGATTCAGAAAGCGAGTCGAATTGCCGAGAAAACGAATCTTTTTTGAAGTGTTCCAAGCAAACTGCGGAATTCTTTGTGAGGACTGACTTATCGCGAGTAGCTTTCACAAAGTTGACCCAACGCTTTCTTCTACGCTTAGCTTCGCTTCTTTTGTCGTTAAAAAATGGTATGCGATGAAGTGAAATGCCTTCATCCGAACTGGCTACGTTAGAACAACCAAAAACTACACATCGACTGGCATTTTTGTGTTTGTTTACATGTATAAACTGTGTAAGTTGTGTTGGTAGTCAGTCTGTCTTCCTTAAATGACGTCACATGTAAGTCCCATGCCACGGATTAGAGCTTTCGACATTTTTTACAAAACGTTGAAATTCAGGTTTAATTCGCATCTTTGCCGAAAGATAACTCAAAAACGAAAAAAGTTATACAAATTCTGTATTTGTACTATTTATTCAAAATCTATTTGAGAATAAAGACTAAAAATAGTGACATAGACAAAAAAAAGACCACACTGAAAAGAGCTGTATGTTTATAAAAATCATAGCAACAATTATGATAAGTATAGCATATTCAACAACAATTCAGATTCAGCTTGGTTTGAATTAAGCCTGAGGTGCTAGAACTTCTTGGATCACAATTCGAGAGACTGTTTGCCATCCACTGTAGGCATCTGCATTGGAATATCCTTGACAATTACCGACATGGAATCCAACATTAACAGTACCCTTATCGATGTTGCCACAATATCCCTCGATATGACGATGACGATGAATATCATGTGTTCCTCTGCCTTTCCTAATGTAGAGGATTCCTTCAATTGTAGGATTACATTCTTTTCCATTGAATTTAAAATACCATCGCTTACAACAGGTGTCACAGTTGGAAATACGGAGGCTACCGGCGTAGAACACGCGAAGATAAGTATTGTCACGTTTTTTCTTAAAACTGCATATCTAGAAAAGAAAAATAACACAGTAATATACATATATTATGAGTGACAACATATTGCTTCTACTTTATAGGACAAAATAGCTATTTTAAAAAGGAAAAGTATATGCTTTAAAAAAGAATTCTGACTAATATAACATCACTTAGAAATTTGAAATGATTGATGAAAAGCACAATTCAATAACACATAACTTATTCTTGTTATAAATATTAAAATCCAGCAAAGTGCTTCTAAAAGAGACTTTCAATACAAAAATGACGTATTAAAAGAAATATTTATTTAGTAGCGTAACGTTTCGTCTTGACTCTCAAGACAGAGAGTTACGCTACTAAATAAATATACGTCAATTTTGTATTGAATAGCTCTTTAAAAAGCACTTTGCTGGGCTTTAATATTTATAACAAGAATTCGCTTCCCGCCTGGTATTTCCCGGGTCGCAACACATAACTTAATTAAGCCCATATTATGAATGGTGTTTTTGAATGCCATGCACAAATGGAAAAGAGATATAATTTATCTTTGTTTCTATCTTGACTAAAACTGAACGAACATCAAAAGAGATTTAGTGACAAAATGACACATTTCAAATGCAGCTAGGGTACGTCAGATTACATTGCAGCAATTATGTTGAAATTCAAGACAAATGAAAAGCCTTTATGCTCGTTAAATTTGTGCTCTAAAATGTTTTTTAAAATATAATAACAAACAGTGTTGCTAAAATTGCTATATATATATTAAAAAAAACAAGCTGCTTCCAGGGGCCACAAAAGATTTATAATTAGGGGGGGGCAATATTTATATATTTATATGTTTTAATCTTGTTAATCCATAACCACAATTGATTTCAATAGAAGCTCTTAAGTAGAACATGTATATATGAATACTTGCCTCGGCTCCCAATTGACAATCTTACGCGGCCTCTGGCCTCACCTAATGTGTTCACACTCACGTGGCTACTCTAGATTGGTTACTGGTTTGATTAAGACAAAATTAAATCAAAAACGTAATCGAATTGAGTTTTACATGTAGAACTGTAATGATTTTTGCTAAACCACTGCGTACAAGAAAAACACATGACTTTATTGACTTTTGAAGTGTAACAAATTTTGTTATCTCTGTACATCATTTGTATTTACTTTCATTTTTGCCAAGCCAGTTTTAATAAAGCGCCTATAATATAGTTCCCAAAATATTTTAAGGTTTTTGTCTTTCACTTCAAAAATCCAAAATTTATAGATTGTTAATCTGGAATAAAGTCTGCTACCATAGTGTAGTAGGAGTTATGTTTACAAATTTCAATATTTAGTAAAAAGATTTCAAACTTTATGAGCTTGTACATGTTGTTGATTTTTTTTAATGTGTGCTACAGCAAAAAGAAATAACAGAACTAATTTGAATAAAAATGTGACATTACAATCAACAACGATTTTTTGAAATATATTTGGCATACATATAAAAAAATTTGAAATAAAAATGCAAAGCCTTATCTTTTATTTATGAAGACATATTTTTTCCTTTTTCCTTCTTAAACACAACGAAACATGTCACCATTATAGCAAAATATAAAATTGCAATGTCACTGCCTAAATTATTACTAATAATTAATTATGTATAATGATACCTGCAAAATAAAGAATATCTTTGATAATGAACTAATTATTTCAACAAAATTTGTAGCGATTATTCACCTTTATAATTCCATTATCTCGATCATCACTCTTCTTCCAAGAGCATTGCTTCCAGTTGGATTCATTATTAACTCCTACAGGGCCTTGTACACCAGCTTCCCCCTTTTCACCCTTAACACCAGTCCTTCCCATACCACCTTGGATTCCTTTGTCCCCTTTTGGCCCAGACGGACCTATCTTTCCCGGCTTTCCATCACTTCCACTGGCTCCTTTGGCTCCTGGAACCCCATTATAACCTGGAACTCCAGGTACACAAGGCGCAACACAACTGGTTTTGCAAACACTTGATTTCTTGGGAAGACCTCTAGGTAGTCGTGTTTTCGGACAAAATTTAATGAATGAAAATGTTAAGTCTCTTAAATGTTGTTAAAGATGTACAGTTAAATATGAATGGTACATAATTATTACTCGTTGTCAATTTATATTTTTAGACTTAAACGAAGTTGATTTTGACCTTCTCATGGACACTGCTCTACGTCCGCTGGTTAACGTCCATGGTTACGACTAAGGATAGGTTAAATTTGAGTGAGAGTGTAGAATAGTCCAAAAGTTGAAGTAAGTACCTTGAGTAACATACATTATTGCGAAGGACGCTGTTTACAAAAGCAATGAAGGAAAAGTTAAAAACGTTTTTTGAAAATCGATAGATAATCACCGAATTACGAACTGCATACTTTTCTGATCGTCAGTTATTTTTCATTTTTAAATAAAACATATTTTACAAAACTCTAGGCATACTGCATATTCTAACGTACAAAGTTTTACAGTGTCATCTATGAGAGTGCTTGGCGTGTCGTAAGCTGTGTTATATTTGAAATCATCGTGTCAATGTGATACGAATTTTTGATGGAAAACGGAAAACTCTGTGTGCATTTGAGAGCTTAGCGCCAACAAAATTTAGTTACTAAGAAGCATTACGCTTCTATTTTCAAAAAAATAGATGGCCATGATTTATATAATTTAAGCTGGAGCTCAGTAAATAATAGATGTACATGGCACTGGTATTGCATGCACTTAGAAGTGAATCTTCTAAGATTTAAGATAAGTTAATGAGAACTCTCAAGCAGGAGCAACCCTCGACCTTTGGTCTCGATTTTGCACTGATCTGCTCTCGAGCTCTCCCGACGGTCTCCTCGATTTGCATAAGCCTGTGCAAATCATTGAACTATAGTAGATGGAAGGCTACCTGTAATAGAAAAGCCTAATAATTTTTTGAAGCCAAATTTGAGCAGAAAAGTATTTTGGCATGGAAGGCAACGGGGCATAATCTTTTTTCATCCAATTACGATGCTTCGTATTAAATACCTATTTCGAAATGGAAAATATCAAAGTGTGGAAACTGTGAAAAACAATCACATCGTTGATCGTTCAATTTATACAAATCGGAAACATTGCAGCAAGTACTTGTTTATTTTGAAAAGATTCAACTGGATGTATTTAATAATATACATGCTTCTCCATGAAATATTTGTACATTCACATACTTACAGAAGCACTTAGTTTGGGAGGATGTGACGAGTATTATCATTTATTATCTAATTTATCTTTTAAAACCAAATCTCATGTAAGTTTGAAATAAAAATTGTGTTTTTCTGTAAAATTGTACTTCCACAGAAAAAAATTGATCACAATTGTTTTGGGTGAAAATACATTTTCAAAACTGATGTTTGTTAAGAATTTTATATGCCTTTTTATGCTACTTTGAAACAAAAACGCTATGGTTTTTGGCACATTCGCAGACATACCAAAACAAACAATAACAGAAAAATGCCTTCTAGTCATGGTTGGCTATGGCCTCCTTTACAAAAATGTAATTGTCAAGAAATTGTGTATACGTGGTGTTAAGTCTCATTTGTGAACTTTTTTTGCCAAATTAAGACAAAAGAGAATTTTCGTTTTGTTTTTGAAGCTTCGTAGTTTGTTCAAGTTATTTTACGCTTCTGTCTATCGGTCGTGTGTTTACAAATGCGTGGAAAGACTGGGCTTTACTGGCGTCAAAATGTCGACTGAGGTAGCCTACCATCTATTTAGTTCGATGGTACAAACACAGTAAACATATTTTATTTCTTAAATAACATTCTTTATTATACTGAAGATTTCATCATGAGATGTTGAAACATGTCTATTTTAAAAAACTCGTCGTATTCAATAAATGCGCAATAACGTAATAGTTCTTAAAAGAGCTGCTTAAGATAAACAATGCGTACAATAAACGTATTGGATTAAATACGGCACTGTGACTACCAATCACGTTTCTTTTTTTATTTGCCAAACGAGATACAGTTGATGATTTTATTACATGAAACATTTGCTCTAGCATTATTAAGTTTACATATCCATAATACGTCGAAGGTGCTGAACAGTGAATACAATTTAGCTTTTACGATGAAAGCATTTAAAGTATGTTAGTTGCATTAAAGCTGACGTTACTAAAGAGTAAAAATTTAAACGATCGTCACCGAACTATAAAAAGGCTTTGACAGAAACAACAGTTTAAGTTCTATGCAATAATAACATGAGTGCGCAAAATAAATCTTCTCATATTCCCTGCCTCTTTTTAAAAATCTTTTAAATTGTGACGTCTTACCTGGAAAACATCTCACTGGTCAAACAAAAATCGAGATTAAACAGCCTTACAATTTATAATATTTACATATTTGATTCCTTTCTCTGTGGTTGACTTCCTTATAGTTCCTCTTGTCTGCAGCAGCTCCATAGTGTTTTTACGATATATTTAAACATAAATATTTGATTGAAGTCGGAGGACTATTACATAACGGACAGGAACAGATCTAGGCGCCATACAAAACAAAAACTTGCAAATGTTGAAGTAATTTTGTGCGTGTTTTTGTTGAAATATTTTGCGATTTATGAATTATATACATTAATTAGGACTTTTTAATATTGTAATATACAATATCTACTGAACAGTTTTCAGTTTCAACAAGTTTTTGTTAATAATATTGCAGAGTCCAGTGTAATATATTTTGGTAGTCTGGTTCTGTAAGCAGAGTCTTATCCAAACATAAGAGACGGTCGCATTTGTGTTTCACGCTTGTGTTTTGCGTTTCTAAACAACTGATGCGATTAAGGCAATTATATACCTAAAAATTTTTTTTGTTTGAATTATACAGATTATACTTTGGTATATCCGTTTCTTATTCATGTATACAATTCTTCTCTGTATATATTTTAAAAATTGGATTTATTTTACATTCAAGAATCCAAACATTCGTAACAATGATCGATGTTGTTATCTTCCTTGTGCAAGTATATTTCTGAAGGGAACAATCTTGCACCTAATTTTAGGCGGAAGTTCGCTAGTTAAATTTGCGGGGGCCTTTTATGACGTTGATTGTTTGTGCTGAGACGGTTGCCCAAATTTGTAACATTTCTAAAGGCGTTGAAATAATTAGAGCAGAATAGCACTCTATAATCTTACAACTTTCTCATTCACGACTACGAAAAGTGAATGATTTCAAACTTGATATAGTTTTATTAATGAAACATAGTGCATCGTAAAAAAATATAGTACTGTAAAAATACATTGAGAATCGAAAGCTGTAAATGACAACACCCATCTCCCAGCAGTGGATCTCTAAGGATTTTTACCAATTATTTTAAAAATCAATCCAGCGTATTGCAAGAAATGATTGTATTTGTTGTAATTTTTGAGATAAAAATAATTTCTACAACCAGTCAATGTCTTAAAGCCAACACATAAACAAATAATATAGTCTATTTTATTTTAAAGAGGAATAAGTGCGCACTTATACGAATTGGAACAATGAAGGCACTTTAGTTTTGAAAATAAGGTGTTTGGTGTTTTGTCAAAAAAGATATTTTGTACCAAAGGTAACAACCAAAGTAACATACATGGACCTACACATGCTAAACATGATTAAGATACTTTAGAACTTTAGATACTTTCAATGAATTTCATTAAAAAAATTACTTCTTCCTTTCACGTAACGGTGTATGAGAACAAATTGTGATTTGTAGCATAGTTTATTAAATAACGTTAGCATTGAATACATACAGTTTGTTCGACGTTGTCTTCTTTAGATTTAGCCGAAAACATAAACAAAACAAACATCAAACATTTTACAAGTGGTGTAGCTTTCATCATTCAGAGGATAGGCACAAGATCACAGAAACACGATCATATATGAACGCTTAACAATGCCAACTGAATGGTTTGTTTACAACTGTCTTCATTATCATTGACTTTTACAAATTCTTGAAATTTTTCGTCCATAGATCTTTTTGATAAAGCGATAAAGCTGTCTTGTTTTATGACCTTATAAGGGAAAAAAACAGGGAGACCAGCAATTCTTGCACAATGTCAGTGACGTTACGTTTTCTGTACAACAGAAAACGTAACGTCACTTGGTTTAACCCACCATACAGCAAAAACGTAAAAACTCACATCGCCCATGACTTCCTACAACTTATCGACAAACATTTCCCACCAAATATTATACTCTCCAAGATATTCAACCGACACACAATACGCGTAAGCTACAGCTGCGGCGAAAACATGAAAACTTTCATAACCAGACACAACAAGACTATTTTAAAAAGACTTAACCCAGACACAACCCAGAACAAGAACAACCCACCAAAGAAATGTAACTGCAGACAGAAACATCTATGCCCGACAAATGGCAATTGCCTGAAACCCAACGTGATTTACAAAGCCGACGTGACAACGACTGACAACAACGAAACAAAAACTTACATAGGTGTTACTGCATGCGCTTTTAAGACACGATATCGAAACCACATTAAATCAATGACGAACATTAAATACCGCAACAAGACAGAACTTTCTAAATACACGTGGACACTGAAAGAAAACAAACGTAACTACAACATTAAATGGGACTTCATCAAACAACTTCCACCTCCAAACAAAAACCAAAGAACCTGCCGTCTTTGCCTTAAAAAAAGGCTATTTATCCTGAAAGGACGTAAAAAGAACATTTTAAATAAACGTTCCGATATGTTTAGTGCATGCCGTCATGTAACTTAACACCTTTTAGTCGATGTATATAGTCAGCAAATAAAATATTATCTGTCAGTTGCCTGAAGATCGCCCTACGGCGTGAAACTCTGAGTAGCGACAGCAAACAATTGTCCATTTTATTTTAGTTCATTTTATCTTACGCTCTTCTAATATATAGAATATTGAGCGCTCTTTTATCCAGGAATATTATCCATAATAACCGTACGTCCTGTGTCCCAAGTGCAGGAGTCACCATTTTACTATGGTGATAGCCGGGAGGGCACATTGTTATACACTTGTATATTACGCTCGCTGCGCTTGCGCAGTTTGAGCGCTCTCGGATTGCGTAGAGAGTCTCATAAAGAGACGTTCACCGCATTCGCTTTATGCATTGCTCACCTATATAGGTTTGAGCGCTCTGGTGACTCTACAATACAATCCATACAATGGTGATAGCCGGAAGTCCTGTGCCTTAAGTGCAGGAGTCACCATTTTACTATGGTGATAGCGGGAGGGCACATTGTTATACACTTTGTATATATATATATATGATAATGATAAGGATTCTCTGGATTTGTTTTAAATTTTTTTTTTTTTATTAAGCTTTCAACTCGGTGCTTCGAGCCTTCGTCAGAATGTGACAATATATTATTTACAAAGATTTTGTAGGCGTTTGGAGCGTCTGATTGGTTGGTTAGTAGTTGAGTTGATATTATTGGATGGTATAAGATGCGTTGTCATGGTTTCGGGTGTATCGATTACGTTAATGAAATTCGAGTGTTTTATTTTAGTCGTTGTGTTATTAGTTTGTTGTTTTGGTTTTGTCTTTAGTTGTGAATAGATGATGGGGATGTCAATATGTCTGTTAATTGTGTTGTTGTCTTTGCTGTACCATGCCTCTTTGAATTCTCGTGCGTGTTTTGTCTGTGCGCGTCCAAGAAGTTGTGTTTTGTCCAGTCAAATGTGTGGTTGGTATCGTAGGTATGTTCTGCTGGTAGTGATTTTGGGTCGCGTCGTTTGATGGCATTCTTGTGTTCAGTGAGTCTTGTTTCAATTTTCTTGGACGTTTGTCCTATGTACTGTTTGGGGCAATCTTTACATGGTATCATGTAGACCGCGTTGGTTGTGTCGAATGTCGTTGTTCGGTCTTTATGTTTAGTGAAGTATGATTTGAGTTTGTGTGTTGGTTTATGTGCGATGTTTATTTTGAATGGTCGGAGTAGTCTTGATGTCATTTCTGATGTTCCGTTTATATATGGTAATGTCACTACACGCTCCAAACGCCTACAAAATCTTTGTAAATAATATATTGTCACATTCTGACGAAGGCTCGAAGCACCGAGTTGAAAGCTTAATAAAAAAAAAAAATTTAAAACAAATCCAGAGAATCCTTATCATTATCATTATATGCCTGGGTTACCAATTTTCAAATATATTAAATCGACATATAGGATGGACACTCTCAGAATAACAAGAAAGTGGGAATTATTCGCACGCAAAGAAATATCGACGTTGGAGCAACTACACTTCTTACACAACTGCAAACAACAGCGAATCCTACCGAACAGTATCAATTACCAACCACCAATAAAATCGACTTATGCCCAACAAATAGCACAATCAAACGGCCGACGTATGCTGAACATCCTCATATCTGACGCTCACAACCGCTTACGAATCTACAGACGAAAATTAAACCAACATCGAGAAACTGTCACGAATCACATCACACAAACAGATGCCAAATCCATTGACGAAACTATCAAAGAAACAACAAACGCGTATCGAACAAAACGACACAACGAACTCCAACGAAAACTACAAAAATCGAGATCATTTAAGGAAATTAACACCGACACGCATTCATGGGTCAAGAACATATCAAGCAAACCACTCACCGTACAGCAGACTAAAATTTTAAGCAAAGGCTTAAATTACAACATCAAGGACGCCGACAAACTAGACTTCGTTGCCGATCTAGAATCATCACTAAAATTCACCAACTTAAATGATGAAATAAAAGAAGGCATTCGCCACAAAGTAACAACAAACCTCTGCCTCAAAAGACCAGTCACGCTTAACAACGAAGAACAAAAAGCTATCAGAAACTTACGAAACGACGAAGACATAGTCATACTACCAGCCGACAAAGGACGCAAAACTGTAATCATGGACAAATCAGACTACATCAACAAAGCGACGACCCTCTTACAAGACACCAACACGTATGAACCTCTACAAACAGACCCCAACAAAACCACTACCAACCGCATCAACAAGAAATTAAAACAACTAAAAGACAAAAAGAAACTTAACGAAACCGTCTACAAAAGAATCCGACCCAACGACTCCTCCACCGCCAAATTCTATGGACTTCCAAAGATTCACAAAGAAAACAGCCCGCTACGACCAATTGTATTTCTTCCTGGATCTCCCACGTATGAACTTTCAAAATATCTGTATAACATTCTGTATCCATTAGTCAAAAATTCACCTCACACCATCCGAAATGCCACCACTTTCCTCGCCAGTATTGAAAACATTAAACTACGACCAGACGAAATCATGATATCCTACGACGTGACATCACTCTTCACATCCATACCACTGGACATTGCCAAACAAATTACAAACGAACTACTCACAAACGACAAAACTTGGCAAGCTACAACACAACTAGACAAAAATGACATCCTAGACTTACTCAACCTTTGCCTCGCCACTGAATTCACCTTCCAAAACACATACTACAGACAAATTTCAGGCACACCAATGGGATCACCACTATCCACCTTCCTCGCAGAAGCTGTCATGCAACACCTCGAAACACAATCAGTCACAAACAACACAAACATCAAACTATGGAAAAGATATGTCGACGACATCTTTGCCATAGTCAAGAAAGACAAAACTGAACAAATCCTACACACCATAAACAATACCACAAAGAACATTACCTTTACTAAAGACGAAGAACACGACAAACAACTTACCTTCCTCGACATCCTACTAACGAGAACAGATGACGGTGCACTAAACACACAAGTATACCGCAAAAACACACACACAGACCAAATACTCAACTTTAATAGCAATCACCCAACACAACACAAAATTAGTTGCATACGAACTCTCTTTAACAGGATTAAAACACACTGCAATACAGAAGAAGCCAAGAAGAATGAACGCAACTACTTATACTCTACATTCATAAACAACAATTACCCACGAAACTTTATCAACAAAGTATTAAACAAAATACACAACAAACCACAAACTGAAAAACCTAACGAAGATACAGACAAACCAGTAAAAATAGTGACATTACCATATATAAACGGAACATCAGAAATGACATCAAGACTACTCCGACCATTCAAAATAAACATCGCACATAAACCAACACACAAACTCAAATCATACTTCACTAAACATAAAGACCGAACAACGACATTCGACACAACCAACGCGGTCTACATGATACCATGTAAAGATTGCCCCAAACAGTACATAGGACAAACGTCCAAGAAAATTGAAACAAGACTCACTGAACACAAGAATGCCATCAAACGACGCGACCCAAAATCACTACCAGCAGAACATACCTACGATACCAACCACACATTTGACTGGACAAAACACAACTTCTTGGACGCGCACAGACAAAACACGCACGAGAATTCAAAGAGGCATGGTACAGCAAAGACAACAACACAATTAACAGACATATTGACATCCCCATCATCTATTCACAACTAAAGACAAAACCAAAACAACAAACTAATAACACAACGACTAAAATAAAACACTCGAATTTCATTAACGTAATCGATACACCCGAAACCATGACAACGCATCTTATACCATCCAATAATATCAACTCAACTACTAACCAACCAATCAGACGCTCCAAACGCCTACAAAATCTTTGTAAATAATATATTGTCATATTCTGACGAAGGCTCGAAGCACCGAGTTGAAAGCTTAATAAAAAAATTCAAAACAAATCCAGAGAATCCTTATCATTATCATAATATGCCTGGGTTACCAATTTTCAAATATATATATATATATATATATAAGTTTGAAAATTTGTAATCCAGGCATTGAATATATAAAAGATAAAACGTTTCTCGTTTTATCTTTTTTTTTCTCGTTTTCTCGTTTTCAACTGACAGATAATATTTTATTTGCTGACTATACACATCTCTCAGTTGCCTGAAGATCGCCCTACGGCGTGAAACTCTGAGTAGCGACAGCAAACAATTGTCCATTTTATTTTAGTTCATTTTATCTTACGCTCTTCTAATATATAGAATATTGAGCGCTCTTTTATCCAGGAATATTATCCATAATAATATATATATATATATATATATATATATATATATATATATATATATATAGTTTGAAAATTTGTAATCCAGGCATTTAATAAATGAAAGATAAAAGTTTCTCGGATTTAAAGTGAGTTTTAATGAGCTTTCGACTCGTTGCTTCGAGCCTTCATCAGAATGAAAAATATTTATTTACACGTGCTTTTTAGCTTGGAGACGTTTAGAGCGTCTAATTGGAGGTGGGTGGATTAATGTGATTGGATGTGGTGAAATGCGTTGCCATGGGTTTTGGTGTATTGTGAATATGATTGGTGTTAATAATATTAGAGTGTAGTGTTTTAGTTTTGGTGTTGTTTGTAGTTTTATGTCCTTTTTCTTAAGTTGTGAGTATATGATGGGTATGTCGATATGTCTGTTTATTGTGTCGTTGTCTTTACTGTACCAAGCTTCTTTAAATTCGCGTGCGTGTTTAGTCTGTGCGCGTCCGAGTACTTTAGTTTCTGTCCAGTCGAATGTGTGGTTGTTTCCGTGGGTATGTTCTGCCGGTAGTGAGTTCTTAACAATTCACCTCACACCATAAGAAATGCCACCATTTTCCTCGCCAGTATTGAAAACATTAAACTACGACCAGACGAAATCATGATATCCTACGACGTGACATCACACTTCACATCCATACCACTAGACATCGCCAAACAAATTACAAACGAACTACTCACAAACGACAAAACTTGGCAAGCTACAACACAACTAGACAAAAATGACATCCTAGACTTACTCAACCTTTGCCTCGCCACTGAATTCACCTTCCAAAACACATACTACAGACAAATTTCAGGCACACCAATGGGATCACCACTATCCACCTTCCTCGCAGAAGCTGTCATGCAACACCTCGAAACACAATCAGTCACAAACAACACAAACATCAAACTATGGAAAAGATATGTCGACGACATCTTTGCCATAGTCAAGAAAGACAAAACTGAACAAATCCTACACACCATAAACAATACCACAAAGAACATTACCTTTACTAAAGACGAAGAACACGACAAACAACTTACCTTCCTCGACATCCTACTAACGAGAACAGATGACGGTGCACTAAACACACAAGTATACCGCAAAAACACACACACAGACCAAATACTCAACTTTAATAGCAATCACCCAACACAACACAAAATTAGTTGCATACGAACTCTCTTTAACAGGATTAAAACACTGCAATACAGAAGAAGCCAAGAAGAATGAACGCAACTACTTATACTCTACATTCATAAACAACAATTACCCACGAAACTTTATCAACAAAGTATTAAACAAAATACACAACAAACCACAAACTGAAAAACCTAACGAAGATACAGACAAACCAGTAAAATAGTGACTTTACCATATATAAACGGAACATCAGAAATGACATCAAGACTACTCCGACCATTCAAAATAAACATCGCACATAAACCAACACACAAACTCAAATCATACTTCACTAAACATAAAGACCGAACAACGACATTCGACACAACCAACGCGGTCTACATGATACCATGTAAAGATTGCCCCAAACAGTACATAGGACAAACGTCCAAGAAAATTGAAACAAGACTCACTGAACACAAGAATGCCATCAAACGACGCGACCCAAAATCACTACCAGCAGAACATACCTACGATACCAACCACATTTGACTGGACAAAACACAACTTCTTGGACGCGCACAGACAAAACACGCACGAGAATTCAAAGAGGCATGGTACAGCAAAGACAACAACACAATTAACAGACATATTGACATCCCATCATCTATTCACAACTAAAGACAAAACCAAAACAACAAACTAATAACACAACGACTAAAATAAAACACTCGAATTTCATTAACGTAATCGATACACCCGAAACCATGACAACGCATCTTATACCATCCAATAATATCAACTCAACTACTAACCAACCAATCAGACGCTCCAAACGCCTACAAAATCTTTGTAAATAATATATTGTCATATTCTGACGAAGGCTCGAAGCACCGAGTTGAAAGCTTAATAAAAAATTCAAAACAAATCCAGAGAATCCTTATCATTATCATAATATGCCTGGGTTACCAATTTTCAAATATATATATATATATATATAAGTTTGAAAATTTGTAATCCAGGCATTGAATATATAAAAGATAAAACGTTTCTCGTTTTATCTTTTTTTCTCGTTTTCTCGTTTTCAACTGACAGATAATATTTTATTTGCTGACTATACACATCTCTCAGTTGCCTGAAGATCGCCCTACGGCGTGAAACTCTGAGTAGCGACAGCAAACAATTGTCCATTTTATTTTAGTTCATTTTATCTTACGCTCTTCTAATATATAGAATATTGAGCGCTCTTTTATCCAGGAATATTATCCATAATAATATATATATATATATATATATATATATATATATATATATATATATATATATATATATATATATATATAAGTTTGAAAATTTGTAATCCAGGCATTTAATAAATGAAAGATAAAAGTTTCTCCGGATTTAAAGTGAGTTTTAATGAGCTTTCGACTCGTTGCTTCGAGCCTTCATCAGAATGAAAAATATTTATTTACACGTGCTTTTTAGCTTGGAGACGTTTAGAGCGTCTAATTGGAGGAGTGGGTGGATTAATGTGATTGGATGTGGTGAAATGCGTTGCCATGGGTTTTGGTGTATTGTGAATATGATTGGTGTTAATAATATTAGAGTGTAGTGTTTTAGTTTTGGTGTTGTTTGTAGTTTTTATGTCCTTTTTCTTAAGTTGTGAGTATATGATGGGTATGTCGATATGTCTGTTTATTGTGTCGTTGTCTTTACTGTACCAAGCTTCTTTAAATTCGCGTGCGTGTTTAGTCTGTGCGCGTCCGAGTACTTTAGTTTCTGTCCAGTCGAATGTGTGGTTGTTTCCGTGGGTATGTTCTGCCGGTAGTGAGTTCTTAACAATTCACCTCACACCATAAGAAATGCCACCATTTTCCTCGCCAGTATTGAAAACATTAAACTACGACCAGACGAAATCATGATATCCTACGACGTGACATCACACTTCACATCCATACCACTAGACATCGCCAAACAAATTACAAACGAACTACTCACAAACGACAAAACTTGGCAAGCTACAACACAGCTAGACAAAAATGACATCCTAGACTTACTCAACCTTTGCCTCTCCACTGAATTCACCTTCCAAAACACATACTACAGACAAATTTTAGGCACACCAATGGGATCACTACTATCCACCTTCCTCGCAGAAGCCGTCATGCAACACCTCGAAACACAATCAGTCACAAACAACACAAACATCAGACTATGGAAAAGACATGTCGACGACATCTTTGCCATAGTCAAGACAGACAAAACTGAACAAATCCTACACACCATAAACAATACCACAAAGAACATTACCTTTACAAAGACAAAGAGCACGACAAACAACTTACCTTCCTCGACATCCCACTAACCAGAACAGATGACGGTACACTAAACACACAAGTATACCGCAAAACAACCCACACAGACCAAATACTCGATTTCAACAGCAATCATCCAACACAACACAAAAAAAGCTGCATTCGAACACTTTTCAACAGGATAAACACTCATTGTAATACGGAAGAAGCCAAAAAAACAGAACGCAACTACTTATACTCCACATTTATTAAAAACAATTACCCTAGAAACTTCATAAACAAAACAATACACAAAATACAAAACAAAACACAAACCGACAAAAGCAACAAAAAACCAGACGAAACAGTAAAAATCGTCACATTACCATACATAAACGGAACATCAGAAATGACTGCCAGACTTCTTCGACCATTTAATATCACCCGTTTCACCAATTCTAAAACGCTTAAAGCGTTAGTTCTAATTTTTAGAAATGCGTCAATAAAATGTATTCCGCGCATTCTGATGTATGGGATTCACGAATTTATAAAATACTTTATTTAGTCATCTTTATTTTCCTGTTCTGTGATCTGGCTATGGCGGAAAACGTTCGACGTTCAGCTTCTTATGATATTTTAAATGATGAACAAAAAAAGATCTTGAAGGATTATTATGATCGAGGAATGATTTCAACAGCAGCTAGTATGAGGGATGTCATCCAAGAAGCTGCGAACCAAGCTAATATCACGTTTGAAAGAGTCAAGGTAAACAGAATGCACGAGTTTATATTTTTTACCCGCGCTTTCTTTTTCATTAGCAACGAGTGATCTTCGCCAGTATTTTTTGATCTGATGGGTTTAGTTATTGTTGCTGTAACTGACATTAAATATAGTGTGCATTTTACATCTTCTAATTATACCCTTAACTTATATTATAGACAGTTTACAAGATGTCAGAGATATATAAACAGATATACTTAGGATTTTCCCTTTATTGGGGAGAGCATGGTTTATTTTTTGACTGTACCACAATACCAGTGTGTTTATATTTAGTATTGCTTGACAATTGAAAATTGCAACGTTTGCTGACGATGTTTGTAAAATATATTCTACTGTTAAAATTTTAACTTGGCCTATTAAGCGTATAATTATTATATTTTTATACTCACACTTGTTTTTACTATGTACTATAAAAAACAAGCTTGTTTTTATTTGTATTCAACCCTCTCGAGCTTTTTATCTTTCTCTGTTGTCAGATGTAATATGTATGTACCACTGGTTGCTATATCTTTTTGCATTAAATCGAACTGTAGTTTTCTTCAATAATGAATTTTATCCTTTATAAAAGTAATAAGATTATAGTATTTACATACATATACTCATTTCATAATATTCATATCATAGTATAGAGGTTCCACAGGTAGTACATCTTAAAAAGGGGTGGGAAAACTTGGTAATTTCTCTATTTTTGAGTATGCCTTCAAGACTGTTGATCACAAATTTTTCGTAGTATTCAGAGTTTGTTGAAACTTAAGGGCAGGCATTCTGTAACATTATCACAAATCTTATAATCAGAAAACCTATGGTTTTCCTTCGATTTTCCCTCGACAATGGTTTTCCAAAAATTAAATTATTAAATGCGCATTTTCTCTATAACACATTTTTAATGCCCACTGGTGTTTCCCTTTTCCATGAAAGACTTGCTTGGGATTCATGCTATAACAAACAGGGACCTTATCATTTTGCAAATAATAATCCTGAAATGTAGGTAAATTTGAGAATATTACCATTAATTAATTGTTTTTTAGAAATCCATAGTTTTCACAGCAAGTGAAATTTTGCATTGCATGAATAAATGACTGAGCAGACTATGCTGTATTCATTGCATGTTTTTGAAAGTTTGCAAATGATAGAATCGTTGCAGTTTATGGAGACTAAATAATGTTGAATCTACCTTAAATTGCAAATGCTAGAGATGTTTTTCTAATTTCTACTCTGTGCTAGTCACCCCATTATTATGTATATAATTGCTTTGAAGGTTTAATTGCATTGGGTGCATACCATTGAAGGTGATCAAGGCAAAACCTAAATTAATATACCTTAACAAATTTTCTTATTAATTAGGTTAATAGTCCCTAAAAATTTTTATCTTGTTCAGGAATAAGTCACATTTTTTACTTTTTTGGCTCTCCTAATTTACGAATAATTTGAGAAAGAAGTTTCATATAGATGGTGGTTCGTAGTTACATACTCAATGAATTCTGTTACTGGTGAAATAAGCTCATGCTTATTGCAAAATTTTCTAATGAAATTGTTTGATTGTTTGGTTTGCAAAGAAGCATTTATATTTTTTAACATAATAATTTTTTGTTGTTTAGACTAATTTAGCATAACCTATCCTTCAAATAACTTGAAGGCTTCATGTTAGTACTCTATTTGCTCATACACCATGTAGTAAATAACCTTGGTTAACCAGGTTAGCTACAAGAAAAAGAAAAAGTTTTTATTTTTATTTCTTCTAGAAATGGATTGGGAATGAAAAGCAGTCCAGAAAAAGAAAAGCCAGCTCTCATCAAGATGAGGAGTTAAGACTGTGCCCTTCAAAGCGTAGAACTACAGCATATAATCTTTTTTGCTCGCATATGCTGAACTCAGGTTCTGATCTATAAACTGTATGTTTTTTATGGCCTGTACAATATGTATCATCTTTATTCCACCAAAAGTGCTAAGACAAAACCTGTGCAGTCGTCATTTAAACCCAAAAGAGTACTGAGCTCAAATTCTGAGAGGTTGAAGTTAGCTGTAGACCACTGGAACTTGTTAGGGGCAGAGGAACGTGTGATTTGGGCAGAAAGAGCAAAGGCTGTTCAAAGCAATGACATTCATGACCTGACAGTTAAGCAGCGCACAAACCAAGTGAAAAAAGGGAAAAAAGCAGCTTTTGTCACAGGTACAGCTGTTATTACCCACTGTACAAATGTACAGTATTATGATATAAGAGAATGATTATTACTTTGATTGTTTGTGCGTAGATTTAGTTGGGCATCTCTATAAACATAACATGATGGTTTGTAAATTTCAATCCATTCTAAAGGAAAGACAATTTACCTAAGGAAAACTTCTACCACAAAAAAATTTGTAAAAGTTGTTATGAATTGTTAGAAGTAGCAAATAAATGCTGAAATTTAGCCAAGTCTACTGGGTTACAGATCCACAAAGTTAGCATTTTGTAATGTTTGCAATTTAACTGTGGAAAATATTAGCATTGATAGACCAGTGTCATGGATGTGAAGGGGGAGTATTTTGTAAGAAATTTCGCAATCCCTATAGCTTTAGATAGATTAGGGTGTGCGAGTGGCTCTAATTTCCCCACAAAATAATAGTATACGTATCATAAAATAAGGCCAAAGCAATTATGATAAGTGTTTAATCTAACACATTGTAGATGTGTGGATTTTTATGCTTTTTGTTTACTTAGAGAAAAAATTTGCTGAAAACTTATGCTGTGTAAATTCAATTAAATTTCTCTTTGCTAGCTTACTTACTTAGAAAGTCTTGGTTGTGAAGCAGTTGTTTTATTCTTGGAGCCTGGTGATTCTTGTCTTCAACAGTTTGGAACAGAAAAAGGAATCAACTTTTTGAATAAAAATGAAAAAATTGGTGTCAATTTCGTTGAGTATTTGGGTAAGTGCTGTACCTACACAGTTATTTTCAGAAACTTGTGGGTCTTGGAATACCAGTGCATTACAGAATGTTTATTCAGTTGTGCCCTTCGGATTTCTTTTGAAAGTAAATTGCTTTCAAAAGTAATCACTTGGGCTCACCTGGATATATGAATAATCCTCTCCTCCCTTTCCATGCATTTTACACGGGCGTTATTTCTTTATCAATGTTTTTTTTATTAAATAGATTCTCCAAAACAGGTTGTCAGAAAGTACCGGGTGTGTGATGTGATAAAACTATTCAACCAGAAATACAGTAAGTACAAATTGCATTTGAAATGATTTTCCATTTTCTGAGCTTGTGTCATGGTTGATATTTTTTAGTCCATTTTATACACAATTCCTTTTTTGACAATCAAGTTATTTTAAGTCAGCATGAATGTTTTGCACCATTGTGAAACATTTCCAAACTTATCAAATCAAATCATGGGAAAGAATGCTGTTTTGTAAAAAATGAACAATGTGCATTACAGTTTACATATTTAGGAAATATCATTTATTGTGTCTGTCCTCATAGTTTTGTACGTGTTAAAATCTCTCCCCCCATAAATATGCGCGGGACTTTTTGTTATTGTCATTGATTGTTGCTAGCTACATTTATGTATTACCCATCATTGTAATTTTCTTCGAAGGTGAAGCTTGTGGGAAAATGTGCCGAGTACCTTATTTAAAAGGAGGATTTACTGTTACTGGTTTGCCAGAAGGTATTACATTTAAAATACCCAGTGAGTATGTTATTAAACAGATTTCCAACATTGTGAAAAATGCGCAGAATATTCATTTCAAAATAATCGAATCACCGCAAGTAGAAAAAGTTTTGACAGAGAATCGTAAATATTCTGATCAAGAGAGAGAATGTTACCGATCTGTGCTGAAGAAAGGTGTTTTTGAAGAAGCCAAATTATCAATGTGCTTGATACGTAACAAGCTGATTGAAGAATGCGATTTGGTGGTAACTGATGTAGATTTGACAAAGTCAGAGCTCGATTTGTTGACTGGGAAACTTAAAAATTTTTTCAAACCTGATGCCTTTGCGACTCTTATTGCCAACTGTAAAAGCAGTCGAACACATGAAGGATACATTCTTCCGGTTTATACTGACTCTGATGAACCGTATTGGCTCTTCTATTATCCTGGTGCAGCTGAAGGCATTGAATCATTGTCTACTGAAGATAAGATTTGGGGATATTGGTTAGACAAGACGAGCTCAGAGCTAACTTATAAACTCATTAAAACCCAGAAAACAAATAAACCTAATCTGTTACCAGGACAAAGAATTAGGAACTTTAAGGTTAAAAACCAAAATTTTTACATCCCAAATAAGCATGCCTTTCGGTTTTCACACGTCTGTTTTGGAATGCCTTGCTAAACAGGATTTCCTGTAGTGTGTTAAACTTTTTTTGTATAGCATGTTCATGTTGTTACCAATAATTGTATGCACCTAAAGTATTCGTATTCTTATATTATGCACAAGTGTAATTTGAATGTTAAGAAATAACTATCGGGGGAAACGAGTAAAAAAATTTCCAAATGTTCTTGTTTACGTTTTGTTGTTTTTCTCACGCTATTTCAACACCACGTCTATTGTCTCCACTATATATCGCCTTTGCTCATTGCATTTATGCCAACTTGTGATTTTGCATGACATTCATATACCAGACCAAAATACTTAAGAAATTTCCTGGAATACTCAAAGTTTTGAGGCTCACAAAAGTCTCAAAAATCTCTAATTTTGAATCAATGAATTAAGCCCATTTTCGTTCTTTGCCAATTTTATTTGTGGATTGTTTAATAAAGCTTCGTAGCTACCCCAATGATAAGTAAAGTCATGTGGCATTTGTCAGAAAATGGGTAAAGCACATTGCAGGTTAAAGGAATAACTAAAAAATATAGACATTGTCAATTGTTAGCCCATTACCCTTTATACTTGAGTATACCATTTAAAAAAAGTTTTAGAGATTTGGTAACAGTTTTACAAAGTTATTCTAATGGAAAAGCAATTGTTTTAAATAAAATATGCAGTTTTAATCGCTTTAGTAATCTATGTTTTTTTTCAAAATCTGTTTACTCTCCATACAACGATGAAATGTGCTGTAATGATGAGTTGCAAATGAATTTGCAAACATGTGAAAGATTGGTAAATGTGTTGAATAAGATTGCAAATAAAGATTAAAGGAAATTTTATATGAAGTTTTGTTTTCATTTAATGAGAAACGTGTTATCTTTGAACGTGATTCAGATAATAAATTAAGTTTGAAAACACAAAAATCTTACCATGTTGTGGATGAAAATGTAACTGTTTATGTTGATGATGATGATGATGAGATGATTGTTTCAAACCCACTGATCTAAATGATATTGCAATGATTGATTGGATGGATGAATTTTACAAAATATATTTCAGAAAAGATGACGACTTAAAAACTATATCAAAAAAATTTCGACAATTTGTTGGATTTTGTCGTGATTTATTAAAAGTGAAGAAGAAAAGAAAAAATCAAAGGAAAGGAAGCTAAAGAAGAAAAAGTAAAAAAGAAATGCCAAAAACTGTACCAAGTAAAAAAAGACAAAAAGATATTGAAAATAGTAATGACATTTAAGCTATTAATGTATTGAAAGAGTTTTCTAATAAATTGGATATTCCAATACATGATTGCATTGGTTATCATAGTGAATTTATGAATGAAATTTTAGATGAAAAATTGGAAAGAAATATGTTTTTGTAGAATTTTATAAAAAATATGGCAATGATAAAATTGAAAGAACATATAATGATTTATTTTTTTTCAAAGCTTGATTTTCATCATCCTCCAACGTTTCTGAATGATGATGATGAGGAGAACGAAGAAGAAAACTAATAATTTAATTAACAATGACTTTATAAAAAGAGCTGCAAGATTATTAAAAGGTGAACATTTAAAAGATAATGAACAAAATATACATAATTTGTATCAAAAAAATATAAATTTTGAAATATAAATGTATGAAGAAAATTTATTTATGGAATATTGATTTAGCTGAAATGAAAAATTTGGCAAGATATAACGATAATTTGTGTTATTTGTTATGTGTAGTTGATGTTTATTCAAGATATGGTTTTGTTCAGTTATTGCAAAATAAATCTAGTAAAAATGTTATGGAAAAATTTGAAGATATTGTATTGAAAGAAAATGAATTTCCTAAAGAAATAGTATCACACGAGGGAACTGAATTTCAAGGGTTTCGAAAAGAATTGTCAAAAAAATATAATTTTCCAAATTATAATATTTATAATCGTGAAATTAAAGCTACTCATGCTGACAGATTTATACAAACAATTAAACAGATGACTGGAAAACTATTGACTTTTGCAAACAAGAAAAGGAAAAAATTTACTTATGAAAATACTTACATTTAATTGTGGAAAGATATAACGAAAATCCTTATCGTGGATTACTTTCTGACAATCTTTCACCATATGATGTTTATTTAGGCGGAAAAAATTACATCAAAAGATTATCTAATATTATGAACAAAAAAGAGATAAAATTTAAGTATATTAAAGAAAAATGATAAAGTGCAAATTTCAAGAATTAAAAATAATATTTTGAAAAGGAAAGTTTAAGACAGTGGGTTAATGAGACTTTTTATATAAATAAAGCTTTTTTGACGGATCTTGTTACTTATAAGCTTTGTGATAACAACGGTGAAGAAATTCAAGGGAAATTTTATTGTGAAGATTTAAAAAACGTTTCAAAATGAAAAATATTACATTAATTTGTAAAGTTAATAATAAAAATTGTTAAAAAAACTATATTAATCATTTTGCTACAACATTACCTGGTCAAACTGATGCATTAAATAATAAAAAATACATAATGTAGATGAATTCTGGTGTGATAATTATATCGCTTTTGAATGATTATAATATTTTTTAAGAATAGAAATAGTAAAAAAAATATAATTTTAACAAATGGATATATTTGTTACTATGTTCAAGGGAAAGAATCTTATTCTAATCAGGGTAAAAATATGATTTTAAAAATTATATATGGATAAAACCTATAATAAGCAAAATAAAATATACTGATTATGCTTCAGGAAATGATACAATTGAATTTAAATTAATTTTTTCAAAAAATTAAGTTTTATGTTGGGGTTAGACAAAGAAGTAATAAAATATACATTTGACTCTGGATTTGATTGAAAGAAACGCGAATTTGTGAAAAAAATAAAATTATTTCATTGTCCATATCTTCCTGAGACAGTAGGAATCAATAAAATGTTTATATATCGTGACAAAATGGATAGAGAAATTGTTGGTAATTCAAAAAGGGAATTGTTATGTATTGTTCCTTTACATTATGCAAATGAAAGTGGAGACAATTTATTTGTGTACAATACTCCAATTATAAAAAAACAATTAATTTCTTCAATTATTAAAAATTTAACTATAAAAGTATTGCATCATCAAGGCAATTATACCATTTGATTCTATAAATATAACGTTGGAATGTCAAATTGATTTAAAAAATGGAAATTAAATTACGACCTATTAAATTACTGCAACATACTGATACTTTCAGCACTTCCATATAATTTACTCATTTTACAAGTGCAAATGTACAAAAATCCCAGAACTTGGTGAAGTAACTAATGTGCAAAATTGTTTACCAAACAGTATAAGAAATTCCAATAGGAAATAATATTTCATCGTTATTATTACATAAAAAAACTTTTTTTAATTTAAATGGTGGATTATCTAAACTAGATGCTAGTGCTAAATTTAATTTACAATCAATACATATAAAGAAATATAAAAAAGGTCCTTTGATTCTATTTTCAAAATATATAATATTTGAATTGGAGTATGATGATTCAGATAATAACTAATTACTAACAAAGAACTAGATATACTTCTGGACTTAAAATTTGAAGAAACTAATGAATTTCAATGAAAAAAATATATTATTTATAAAAATAATTTGTATAAATACTATGAAGATGTATTAGAGGGTAATAGAATGAAATATTGTAATCCATATTATAATTATATAAAATATAAATTTAATTCTATCACTGAAAAAGGAATTTTTTAACTGATACTGCACTTAATTCTTTATTATAAAACAATTATCAAAATATGTTGTAAAGAGAAATATAAACTTCCTATATATATACATATACATAAAGTGTATAACAATGTGACCTCCAGCTATCACCCTAGTAAAATGGTGAATGCTGCACTTGGGACACAGGATGTATGGTTACACATTGTATGGATTGTTTTGTACAGTCCCCAGAGCTCAAACCTATAAAGTTGAGCTTTGCATATAGCGAAAGCGTTTATTAACTTATAATTATATATATATACACGTGTGTATATGGAATTATTCTAACTCGGTGTCTGATTCAAAATCTGAAAATTGAAGCAGTGATTCGCAGTCAGTCTCGTTATCAACTGAACTGGTTTCAATCTCTAATGTATCCTCAATTATGTTTGTTGGACGCAAAATAGATAATGCATACTCTGCTTCTATCTTGAAGAATGGTAATTTACCCTTACTAGCTTCTGTTAAATAGTCCTTTAACATATGTTTCAGTGAATACAGTGCATTATTTATGTTAATTAGATCTTTCTTAAAATTGCTACAGTTCCTCTCAAGATTTTGCTCTGAACTTCCCCATTAACATTGATATAGGACTCCAGTTCTTGTTTCTTATCCAAGTAATAGTGTACTAGTCTTTCTGTTTCCATTTCTAACATTTCTTGTTCCTCTTTGCATCTTTTAAGAAAGTTATGCAACTCAATAGCAGAACGTTTAGCAGTGAACAGTACTGTATCTTAATTTGTTTGAAAGTTAAAATCACAATAAAGTTGCGACCTTGGATCTTTTGCTTCGTCGAATTCAATTTTTCTAGGTAGTCCTTCAATCCAATCTTCCAAAGACTTTAGTGATGCATTATACTTGGCTGTTGTAGTTTTAATGGATTTTTTCTCTGCGTTATTTGTTTGGAAAGTTTAACGGCTATCGCTTGGCCATCTGAAACGCAAGATAACGCTCGGTTCAATAAATACAAGTTAAAGTCATATAGCATTCATAATTTTACTAAAGCAGTATACCACCAATACAGTTTCTGTAAAAACTACTATTCTTTGGGTTTTTTTCATAATTCCATTTCGAAGTATTAAAAGTATTAAATGACACTCACTTAAAAGGACTGGGCAAGTACGCACGCACTAAAGTGAAAGACGTTTGAAATGCTTAGCAGTATATTTAAATGTTACATTAGGAAGAATACCTGCATATTTATTCTTTAAGGATACAAGGAACATCCTTTCAATTGCTAAAGAAAATGCTGACTCAATAACAGACTCATTCCGTTTCAGCTCCAGCGACAAAGCTGCCGTATTAAATTCTCTCTCCCAAGGTTTCCACCTCTTCGTCACTTTCTTTCTTCTCTCAATGTTTTCAACCTGTTTCGTTACTCTAAAAAAATACATCAAAACAAATTTAAACGATAATATTACAACGAAACGACTATTGGTTTAAGGAGATTGAAATTCTTCTCAACACTTATTCACGAGGTTTTATCAGCGACAAAAAAAATGCACAATTCATATAGTCAAAAGGCTTGCCTTACTTCTTAGTCTTTTTTACAATATCCGCAAAGTGACCATGATCAACTTCCTGAATACAAGCAATCTGCACTCTATAACGAAAAAATGTCATCTGATAGTAATTATTAATTAATTCAGTATTACATACACAAAGCCATACACTACAAAATAAACAGTGACGACATTACGCATTTATCTCAGCAACCTATTGAGCAAAACTACAGAATTGCATTTGTAAAAATATTTATTCATGCACTTGATAAACTTTATATATCAAAATTGTATACCTACAGTACCTTAGCTGGTAAAGTTGCAATAAACTTTCCACATATTTTTGTTGCCATGTTAACGGAAGTGCCCGTTTTGCTACAAGAAATAATCCAGTCATCTAATAAAAATTATGAGCCAACAAGTTGATGGAAAGGCACATTACATACAATTCTTCTCATTTATTAGTTTTTCTTCTTCCTTCATCCATGTCTCTAATAAATCAGAGTCATACAGAACATCTAGCTTCGAAAATAAGTCTTGTATTTGTGATTGCGTGTTAGTAATAAGTTCAGGACATCTTTTAAGTTTAGCAGCTAATGAAGATCCTAAAAAAATCAACAACTTCCAGCACTAAATAAATAATATACAAAAAACAGAAGAGGGGGGGGAGGGGTTACTAGTTTACAAAACGTTGACTGATCAAACAGTTGTGTGTACATTACTAAAGTGATTATATCAGGGTCTGGGAGAGGATTTCTTTAAATAGTTAAATCAATTTTAAGAGCCCTTGCAAAAGATCAAAACACACGTGCATTGAAGATATAGCATTTTCTATACCGGTTTCAAGTAAACAAAAAACGTTTACACAGTACAAGTTTTGGGACGCTATTTCCTTCTAAAAGTCTATAATATTGTATGGTGTTGATACTTTTTGAAGCGATCGTGTTGTCCTATATATGTCAATTCCAGCTTTCAATCACCTACTTGTTGGCCAAAAAACCCCATCAAGATAAAATTTTTGTCTATCAAATACACGTATTGCAAATGTTCTCAAAATCAACTTGACTATTAAAAGAAGTTATTTCCCTGAGCCTAACACGTGTACTTTCAGTAAACACACCAACCAAAGTGTTCAAGTCGACGAGAAGAATAGTGCAGTAAAGCATCTGTCAGAATATCAAGACGGCGACCAGAGCTCATCTCCTTGGTCATGCCGGAAAATCCCCGAAGAAATGACCATAGTCTTTCCACTCCTTCCCCATCAGTTAATCCATATCCTTTTTTTCTTCTTGGGTTAAATTGTATCTACACGACAACAAATAATTTGCTATTAGCTGCTTATAACTATTTCTATTGAGACCGAACATTATTTTTCGTACCCAATAAATATTGTTCACGTGGATGCAATGATAGCAAAACATTTTGAGTACGTACAGAACAGTCTCTTTTAAATCTATCATAAGATGTATTGTTATCATCAGAGAAATAAAATTAATAAAATGTACAAACCTGACACGAGGACTTATGACCATAGCAGTGGAAGACAGGAATAGCATAATCGGCTCTCTTCACAAAATCATGCTTTCCATTTTTCTGGAAAAGAACAGAAGATGTCAATACAATTTTACTTGGTTTTATTACGGTTTAATGAACTCTACTGCACAAAGTCATTATAAGCAAACAAAATAAACTATTAATGCTTTAAAAAACCAACCATTAGGTGTGCCTTCAAAGTACATGCAATGTCATACATGATTTTTATTGTTGTGTTTTCGTTGGAGTTAGAGAGCTGGTGTTTGACACTAAAAACTGAATAACCAATCCTAAAAAAAGAAGCAAATACTGCAGCTAGGACATTACATGATTTTGGTAAAACCTCTTAATATTGCAGACACAGCAACATTCAACAGAAGTTTCACGAAGGTCATTAGCGTGTTCAATTGAAATTTGAAATATAGTTTCAAAAGGCGAAGTGCAATGGGCTAGTAGCCCAGGGCTAACTGCTACAATCGAATTAACATAACATGTTTGTATCATTTTGGGGAATGACTAAAGCTATACAACAGAAAGAGCCTGCCACTTGGAAAGATTTTAAATGGTACACAAAAGATCACTTCATTGCATGATGAAAGTATGTCATGACTGTTACCAGACTTTCTACTTTTTATTAACAGACAACTCTAATGGGGTTAGACAACCTTGCCTGCTATAACTCATTGCAATATTTGAAACCAAGATGGGGTGGGGAGGATGGGGTGGGGCTAGTATGTTCACATGAAAGCAGGTTTATAATAAATGATGCTTAGATAGCCAGACTATAAACTGTAGGTCATTGTGGTACGGTCATGGTAAGTGGATAATGATTGCCTTAAACATTAAAGAAAATATGTTAATGACTTCAAAAAATACCTTTCTCCATGTTTGATATTCATAAATCCTTTAGGGTAATCATGCCGGCAGACACAACCAAAAACACCTTTCTCATCAAATAATTTGTTTCTAACTTTTGATCGAATCATGTCATTTACTTCACCTGCCTTAAACTCATGACAATCCTTAACAATAAAAGGCTTCGTAATATTCAAAAGTACATAAAACAGCAAACTCGAGGGAAGACAATTTCTGAAATTCAACCACATTTCCCAATACTTACAGTTTTAGCGTGTTAGCACTTGAAGTGTAGTTATCAACAAATGAATCAACTTCTTCTTGATTGTGGAACAAAATGGAATTATGCCTTGACAAGAACTGAGCCTTCCCTGAAGTCTTTTTTCTCACAAGACCAAAACAAGCATCCATTGATTCAATCAGAGTACCAGCTTCATCAGGCTATCAATGGATGAAATGAATAACAATGATGCTTTTAGAATGAAGACATTAACAACTTCCCTACAACTGTTTTAAATATTGTGTTTAATGGCTAAATGTGTACAACTCCAGAACAAATGTCTATTAAATTTTTAGAATAAGAAAGCTAGCTATGAACGAATTGCAAGAGATGCACAATTATAAATTTCGTACTTTGGGACAAAGAGGGCACAAATATCTCCGGGACATGTTGCTTTACAAGCGTAACCATTTCTCAACAAATGCCGATGATACCTGCAAAATAAAGAAACCACTAAAAATTCAATCATACACTATTACCAGAGCAATCATGAGACTTCAAGATCACATCCCTCAGTCTTTCTACAGTACTTTTTGCATCTAAGTTTACACAATAATTATAGTTTATGAAACTAATTTATATTACAAACCGAAACTCATCAAATGAGTTGCTGTTCAGTGTTGAATACATGTTCTTAATCTATAATGAAATAAAACAATTACAACAATATACACATGCACAACAAGAGCAGGAGCAGGGTGAAATATTTAATCTTTTGTAATGTGCCTTTCTATGAAAGATTAAGGTTACAGTTCAAGAAAACCAAGTTTTTCTATGTTTTAGGCAGGTAACTAGTAATTGTTACAAACTATTAACAAGCTGTTGCACTGCTCTGGGGTATCTATATCATGGGCAGCTGTGCAAACAGGATTTTTTTGGGGGGGAGGAAGAGATAGGGAAACACTCCTAAAATGTCCCTTAAACTTACAATGCACTGTTTGATATCACACACCTTTTCAAGTTCTATAAATAAAGACCGATGTGGGAGAAATATTGGGAGGGGGGCAGTACCCCCTTGTTGGCAACACAGAATGAAGGTACACATGTATTTCTTTTTACACAGTTGAAATGAATACTTACCCACAATGGTAAAGAGGCGCACTTTGTCCATATTTTTAGAGCATTGCAGAATTTTCGAAGTGAAACATGACATTAAAGAAGTAAGGTTTCAGCCAACTCCATCATCTTAAAATGAAAAGCTAAAGAGGGACGAGTAGCACTGCCAGGACAAAGTTTCAATCTTATTAACGTTATTGAATCTTTTTCACACTCACAAAACAGAATTTGTTTCTGATTTTGCCGGCCTATTTGAAAAAATACACTGCAAGTTCTGGTTATCATCATCATAATGAAACATACAAAGATCACAAAGAAAGAGGGTAGGTGGTAATTAAACATGAACTTTGCAATAAAATTTAGAATTTACCATGAAGCTAGTATTTAAAGAAGAAATATTGATTTAAAAAAATGAGCATGCAAAGACCTTATGTATCAACAAAATGCTAAGGTTGATAAATTATCAATCATTAAGTGAGTATATCTAAGCTAGTAAACAAACCATATTGGTCAATGCAAATGACATTTCTTGCTTGAGCACTATGGCAAGATTTCTGATGCCTTGCTGCAAGAATACCATGATTGGGAAAGTAAGGTAATGTATACCCATCCTAAAGACATAATGCAAGCTATGTTTCAATAGCAGTTCATACAAATGTATGATACAATGACCATGATGACATGAATTGAAATCAACGTTTGATCACCAAACTTATACACCACAAAACGTCATCATAACTGAATTTATCTTTATTCTTTCCATCCATACCTTAAACCGTTCAAGCACATGGAAGTAGTTGCTTGTTTCGTGAGTGCTGTCAGCACAACCTTTGCAAAAATATTTTTCGTGTGCGCATTCGTTACAACGAAATTCTACCCCAATCACACCACATTCAGAGCATTTTTCTTCGTTAAGAAAAACTTCTTCTTCAATTTTTCCGTTTAACAAAGACTCTCGTATGGTTTGCCAGCCTTGAAATTCCTTTTCCCGTCTGTTCTGATAGTTTGTTGCATAAGCATGCTCTTCATCACAGTAACCTTGGCCTTCATCAAACTCATACAAATTATGTCGTTCTATCGCACTAGAAGGGACATTTGTCGACTTTAATTCATTTGAAATACGATTTAAAGCTTTCAGAGCAATATTCTTCGTGATTTTTTTGCCACTCGTAGAGATAGATCGAACGCGAAGTTTGCAAGATTTGAATCGCTTTGAGGGGCGACTAGCCATTTTGAACCAAATGTACGGAGCTGCACGGAGCTACACATTATCTAAAAAAACTGGAACCTAGTGTAACATATCTTGTAGAATGCGCGAAATACATTTTATTGACGCTCGTAACGCATTTCTAAAAATTAGAACTGACGCTTTAAGCGTTTTAGAATTGGTGAAACGGGTGGCTACGCCACTGATCAGAAAGATGTTTTGATATACATCAGTTAATTGAAAACTATATCATCAAAATATACAAGATGTACATCATAGAAATATGCAAAACTTCTGTTTTTCATTAGTGAAGCAATGTTTTTAACCAGTTCCTTTGTGAACATCTACACTATAGATGAATATATTGAAGATATGAATACGTTTGTTAATACTTTGTTGTAGATTGAGAATTCGTCATCGAAAAAGGCCTCGCGGAACAGAAATTGTCCTTGTCAACTTCAACTTTTAAATGGCGATACAACATGCTATCTCATTTCTCAGTCACTACAAATGCACAGAAAATACAACATTAGGGTAAAACTCTCCACCGGTTTTCCTGTACATTTCATTAAAACTTTGCCCAAATCAGAAGTTTTTAAAATATAAGAAAGCAAAAAAATGTGAATTTGTAATACAAAAGGATGGTAAAGTAGGACCGACATCCCCCATTAAGTCAACAGCAAACGATCGAACTTCCCGCTTTAATTTTCACGAGAGATGCGTTATCCAGTCTAATGTACATAACACAGTAAAGTAAATTTACAAACGTACATAACACAGGTTGCAATTCACAACAGACGCAGATGTCTCGCTGTGGGCGAGGTTTATTTTAATAAACCCTTTGGCAGTGTAGTAGTTCAACAATCACTGAAAAAGTTCACAAAATAAAAGGTTAAGCAAACATTTCCGACTGAATTAATTTCGGTTAACTAAACTTACCTTTCCTTTATAAACAATGCATGCACCATTATTTGAATAACACGACACCTCTACAAAATCTTTTAGCGGACAATTATCTTTACACCAGTAATTTATTTCATATACTTGCTTCTTGTATTCTATGTCATCTGTATTTAATATTTCACTGTTGAAAAACGTTTTTGGCAAACTGTGCATGCCAACTTTCAAACAATGCATTTCAGGAGAATGCCATTTTCCCAATGGAAAAGAAAGATAGTGTTCAAGTGATTGGTCAAGATCACACGCATAGAAAACTACATAGAAAACTACTTTTTCTAGACCATGGCAAAAGACTTTCAAGCTTGATTAAATCCAAGCCTTCCTGATCTTGAATAGAAACTTTAGCTTTAACTACATTGATAGTACTTTCAAGAAAATTTTCCACCGTGAACCGACTCCAAATTTTAATCCAACGATCCTATGCATTAACTTGATCATCTACAGTATTTGCTTTTGATAACCAAGTGTAAAGCTGGTCACTGACAACACTTGTTGTTACGTCGTAGTATTTTCCTGATTAAAAAAAGGTACATTATTGTTACTAACAGTTTATAATGTTGATTTTATTCTTAAGACATAGAATCTCATCCAATGAAATGTGGTTGTTTTCCCTTGCATGCCTCGTCAATAGTTTTTTACATTGCGGAATCATAAAAACAGACAAAAACATCTCATTGTACAATTACCAATATTGAAAATGTCTTTTCTTAATGATTCATTTATTCCATCCATCCAGTTTGGCCAAAATTTGTCAAAATGTTTCTCAGCCCAAACTGAAAACATGAGGCACAAAGCAGCATAAATAATTACTCTAGCAAATTAATCATTACATACGATAGAGTAGTACTAACAATATCCATGTGCAAATAGCGTCATCATGAACTGTAGTGGAATGCATTTTAAATGTAAACCGGTATTAGATATAATGCAGGCCTAAGTTCGTTGTTGAGAAAATAAATGTAAATTTAAAGAATTGAAAATGGTTTGAGTTTTCTTTCCATCGATGTTTGCCTTTCATCTTACAAACTTACTATTTGTATAAAAGAACAACTCTTGAATATGCTATATAGAGGCGTAACTAGAACGTTAATTGGGTGTGTACATTCATAAATTCCATTGTGCCCTGCTGATTTCTTTGAAATTCAAATCACATTCATGAGAAATCAGTAGTGCAATGCGGAATATATGAATATGCCCCCCTCCCCAATTAAAGTTCTAGTTAAGCCTCTGATGTTTTATGTTGAGCAAGCATCGTTTTGACTAGCTAGCGGAAATAGAAAAACATTTTTAATGACATGCAATTGCATCTTCTCTATACATGCATCTAAAGTCGTCTTGTTAAATTTACATTACACGATCTCTGCTTTTACACACTTTTTGTTCACTATTTTTATGCACTTTACCTTCAGATTTTTCGCGAAGACCATAAAAGCTAGTAATGACATTTTCATCGTAGTTTGGAAAACATTTGATAGGTAGATTAAAGTTCTTGATGTAACCGTCCGTTAAATACTGTTGTTTTTCATATTGATCGTCCACACCTTCAGGCAATCGCATTGCTCCAGCTTAAAAAATAAGAAATAATTTTTTAGTTGAAAATTGTAAGATTCTTTTTCATTTCTGCATGTACATGATTAAAGAATTATATTTCTAGATGGTCGCCAATATCATATAATACCAAAAAATGCATGTATTCTAGTGATTTTCATCAAATTTTGCATTTTCTAGAAGAAAAGAGTGTTGTAATCTCTCAATCTTTTATTAATGTTTCTCTTTAAAAATGACTTTTTCTAGATTACTTGATTATTAAGAAACTGTTTCATTAAAGTGTATAACCTGTAGATTTAAAAATTCGTAGAATATATATTTAGTTCTGTGTCTTCCAACACGACAATGACGTCAAACACACACACATAAGTAGAGTTTTTTGAAAACACCCTAAAGATAAAAAGGTTTGTGTGATTCAATGGCCAACACAATCATTAGATTTGGCACTAAAGTATATAGGCACAACTCAGGGGAGTTGGAAGCGGAGAAGCAATGAAGTCTAAAAGACCCTCCTAACTTTTCTTGAAAGGACAGCACCCCTTACTCATAACATTAAAACAGTAAAATTCCTATGAAAGATGCTGGTCTCTTTTGAATATAAAACATACGTATGTTTATTACGGCCTGGTAGGCTTCAAAAAAATCGCGCAGAAAGTTTTTGTAATTTCCCTTAATAGCATATTTTGTTGTTAACATCACCTGCTGAGACAGAAAATGATGAGAAAACAGCTATTTTAATTTTCCTATATGACACTGATGGCATATCATTTACTTTATTATATTATGTTTTACATTTGCATGCATGTCTAAAAACTTTCTAAAAATGAGAAAAACCTTGTAGGGTGCTTAAAAATGTTAAATTCTTTGATTTTTTAATTGATCTAGCGAACATGCAAAAATGCTACTTTTAATTTTTAGGAGGCCTCCTCCTCCTTTCATTTAACTAAGGAGTTTGACAAGCAAGTGAAAACTATCAAATGATAATGAAATTTTTCGAATGCTTGGAAACAGATGGGATGAATAACATAAAAAGATAGTAGAAAAGATACCTAGATGTTGAATCTTTCACAGAAACATAAGCTCACCACATCATTACTTCAACTATTCGTTGAAATTTTTTGTTGTTTTAATTGCTTGATTCAATTTATAGTTGACAAACGATTTTTGTATCATTTATTCTTCAAAGTAAACTTTTTTTATTTCTATAGAAGAGTTTTCGATTGGGATGGGGGGGGGGGTATCATTTGTTATTCACTTATTGCATGTTAAAGGTAGAATGATTGAAAGCATTGAAAGTATTCGCTGTATTGGAATTTTTACCGTCGAAAGCAAGAAGTTAATCAGTTAATATCATTGTAATGATTACCATGTTTATACAAAATAAGTTGCTGTTTTTCGTCATATTTGTCAGCCAGTAACAGTCGTCGTTTATTGAATGTGGTTTCTGGTGAACACAAGCGTGGCGGGTATATTTCCTAGTTCTGCTGTTGTCTGCTGTTCTAGCTATACCTAAGTGGGGGGCAGCAATTTTACAGTTCTGTGAAAAAACTGTGGCAAAGCTTTTGAATTTATTGTTAAGAGTATTTAGGTAAAGAATGAAAACATCCATTGATTGATTTGGATATATTTATTATAGTTAACAACAACAGCGTGTGCGCCAAAAAGCAGTACGAACAGAACAGAATATATCATCATCACATGACATAGTTGATCATTATAGCATGACTTATATGAAGTTCTTCAACACTCCCACTTAATGATCATACTATAAAAAGTGTTTTTTTTTTTTTTTAACTAATCCAATTAATGTCTCTAACTTGGGAATTACTTAATTTTCTTGACTCCCAACATATCTCGAAAGTTCTCAAAAGTTTTTCGTGGTAGAGCTTTTGTCATAATATCTGCTAACATATTATCTGTCGAACAGTATACCACAGACAAGCTATGTCCACATGTTTGGTTCGATTATGGAATTTAGGATTTTTTGTAAGTTCTATTGCTCCCTGATAGTCTTCGAAAACTATAGATGGTTCATCTTGCTGTGTTCCAATGTTTGAAAGCAATCTTCTCAACCAAACAATTTCTTGGCTTGCTAAACTTAAGGCTATGTACTCGGCTTCAGTGGTTGATATGGATACTGAGGTCTGTCTCTTACTTCTCCAACTGACAGCATTATTTTGGATTTGAAACACATATCCGGAAGTTGATCGTCTGGTCTCAATATCACCTCCCCAGTCTGCATCAGAATATCCGGATAACACAGGATCTGAACTAGTAGCCGTGAATAACAAACCATAATCCAACGTTCACTTTAAATACCGGAGGATTCTCTTTACACCTTGCCAATGTACTACGCTCGGTCGAGACATAAACTTCGACAAAATTCCGACTGCCGATGAAATATCGGGACGAGTAGCAGTAGTTGCATAGGTCAGACAACCAATTGCCATTTGATATCTTTGAGTCTCCACTGGTGTCTCATCTTTTGACAATGACTCAAATTTCATTCCAGTCTCCATCGGTGTTGTGACAGGTTTGCATTGGTCCA